GACCTGAGCCGAAAGGAAGAGGCAGACGCCTGTGCCCCTCAGGTCGCCAACATTCTTGCTGGAGACTACGAGTCTGTGGCGTGGCCAGCATGACGGTGAGCACTGGTGACACGAGCACGGGCTCAGAAAGGACCCTTTCAAAAGGGGCGGGTGGGTTTGATGCCGTTTGTTTCCTGACCCTGCCATCTATGGGAAGGCGGGGGCGGTGCTGTCACAAGCGGCTCAGGAGACTCCCGCGCTCAGGGACAGAGAGCCCTGGGGCCATCCTTGGGGGTCTCTGAGCTTGTTCGGTCTCTGAAGTGGCTCTGATGACATGTCACCTCCCGGGATGTTGGGGCGGGGGGGGGGTGCGGGTGGAGGCATTCACCGAACCACTTGGCAGGATTCGGGCCCAGACGCGGACGCGGACGCTGGCGGGTGGTGCGCTGACTCAGGAGCAGAAGCTTGCAGCCCTTTCCATTCTCCTGAACGGTACCCTCCAGGGCCGCCCCTCCTTGCGCACGGTTGTCCGCCGACGCGCTGCCTGCCTCCGGCCGCGGGCACAGGGCGACCGCCCGCCTCCAGCTGTGCGCAGAAGGTGGCCCTGGATGCTCCCGGTCACACTCCTCAGGCTTCCAGCGGCGGGCAGAAGGCAGGGACGGGCGCCCAGGCTGTGCATCTGAAGACAATTCTGTTCTGACGGAGAGCGCCTGTGGTCTTCCGTATGCAGAGTCGTGAACGCTCACGTAGTTTTCTTGGTAAACTGGCTAATATAGTTACAAACTTAAGAGAAGTCGCTGCTCTAGCGCCAAAATCCGTGAATTTAAAAAATTGCTGTCTTACGATTATAAAAGTAATACGTGCCTATTGCGGACAATTGCATAAAACTTAATTTTAAAAATTGTGTAAAAAATAGTAAATATTCATCAGTGCCCCCTTGCAGCTGGCATTCTGCCCCTGGACTACAGCACTATTGGTACTTATCTTTATTCTTTATTTTTTTTTAAGTTTTTATTTATTTATTAAAAATTTTTTTTTAATGTTTTTGAGAGAGAGAGAGAGAGAGAGGGAGGGGCAGAGAGAGAGGGAGACAGAATCGGAAGCAGGCTCCAGGCTCCGAGCTGTCAGCACAGAGCCTGACCCGGGGCTCGAACTCACGGGCCGCGAGATCATGACCGAGCCGAAGTCAGATGCCCAACCGACTGAGCCACCCAGGTGCCCCTATTTATTGTTTTCAATTTATTTTTTGATTTTTATTTATTTTCAGAGAGAGAAAGCAAGCAGGGGAGGGACAGAGAGAGAGAATCCCAAGCAAGCTCCACACTGTCAGCACAGAGCCCGACACAGGGCTCGAACTCATGAACCCTGAGATCGTGACCTGAGCCGAAATCAAGAAGTCTGATGCTTAACCGACTGAGCCTCCCGGGTGCCCTCTTTACTCTTTAAAGTAAACGTAGCCCACATTACGTAACAGGTGCCTTCTGTGGGCTCTGATCCCTTGCCGCCTGGAGCAGGAAGGACCCCGAGGGCCAGTCTCCTGCAGCAGCCTCCTACTGGGGGAGCGGTGACCTGCCCAGGGTCACAGTGTCAGCGGCACAGGTGGGGACCGTGTGCAGGCCTCTTCCTCCCACGCCCGCCTCTCTCCTCCATCCCGACACACGAGGCTCATCTGACAGCAGCAGGGCACCACTCGGGCCCCTTTCTCTGTCTTTAAAACTGAGAGGTGAGTCTCTGGTTCTGGAAGAGGTGGCCCGAGGAAGGAGCATGTTGTTTACTAGCTGTGGACCGAGCACTAGAAATGAGAACGTTCTTCCAGTGGGCTGCAGAGAGATGTCCCGGCCTGACTGCCCGTGGACAGCTCTCGCACTGCCAGCTGCTCCTCCTGCGTCCGTCCATCTTGTCCCAGTCACAGACCTGTCACTGCAGAGGCGGGACCAGCCAGGACTGTGGGCCTCCACACCGCTCTCTTTCCACCGGGCCAGTCTGCCATTACTACGCCCTGTGGTTCCTTCTTGGAAAGTTTCTTCTTCTTGGATAATACCTCTTGTTACCTGCCCTCACGGTCATGTGCTAACAAGCTGCGAAAACCGAGATTTGTTGAGTCACAACACCTGGCCTCCTAGGTGCATTGGTAGCAACCATAATGTTCACACAGCGCTTCACACGTTATTGTGCTTCACAGATTCTGTGCTTTTAACAACGTGAAGGTTGCAGCAACCCTACGTCAGATAAGTCTATTGGAGCCACTTTCCCGAGAGCATTTGTGCACTTCGTGTCTCTGTGTCACACATGGGTAATTCTCAAAGTATGTCAAACTTTTTCGTTATTGTTATGTTTGTTATTCTGATCTGTGATCAGTTACTACAACTTGCTGAAAGTTCAGATAATGGTGAGTATTTTCAGAAATAAGGTATTTTTTTTTAATTTTTTTTTCAACGTTTTTATTTTTATTTTTGGGACAGAGAGAGACAGAGCATGAACGGGGGAGGGGCAGAGAGAGAGGGAGACACAGAATCGGAAACAGGCTCCAGGCTCCGAGCCATCAGCCCAGAGCCGGTCGCGGGGCTCGAACTCACGGACCGCGAGATCGTGACCTGGCTGAAGTCGGACGCTTAACCGACTGCGCCACCCAGGCGCCCCAGAAATAAGGTATTTTTTAAGCTACATAGTTTTTTTTAGATGTAATGCTATTGCACACTTCATAGACTACCGTAGAGTGTAGACATACCTGTTATATTCACTGGGAAACCAAAAATTCATCTGACTAGCTTTATTGCAATACTTGCTTTCTTGCAGTGGTCTGGAACCAAACTTATAACATCTCCGAATTATGACTGTGTATTTCCCAAAGAATTCTTCTATCATGGGGTAGACAGTGCTCTCTCAGAAAGATAGGGCTAGGGAAACTACTTGTGAACGGGGAGGACTGGGAAGGCTTCCTGGAGGAAGTGCCTTCTGAGACGGTCTTAGGTGTCTTTACCCTTCTCTGGAGGGCTCGGGAGTCATGGCTTTTCCTTCCTTCTGAGATACCAGGATTGGATTCTGGCTCAGGTCTGTTTTTTTAAATACAGCTTATTTGTAAACAATTTCAGGGGATGTGTTTTACACATTTGAACAACTTTTCAGGGCGTGAGCATTAAGATCGGCTCTCCATCTGGCTGCCCGTGTCTATGTGAGTCGGCCGTGGTTTCCTGCACCGTGTCCACAAAGCGCTCACATAGCGCCTCAGCTTTACGTGGAGGGGCCGAGAGCTTCTGCGCTAATGGGAGTGAGTCCCAGGCTGCGTTCGGAGCTAATTAGATGGAGAGAAATCACCCAGGCTATTTCGGTGTCGGCCAAATATTTTGAATATGTGTTCGGCGGTGATGATCGACTTCATCTTGATTGCCTCGCAGTAAGTTAACAGGTGATTAATATTATGAACATAGACTTTGCGGGGGGAAGGGTTGGGATAATGAGAAATTAAGGAATTCTGAGTCCAACGGGAGGAGCCGGATGAACTGCACGCTTGGAGGCTCCTTCTCCTTACTCTTGGTGCGTGGTTCTCTACCAAGTTTTGCTCCTTCTTTTGTCCTCAGTCTCAGAAGACTCCTGGGCATCTGTGCCTGGGGCTCTGCGCTGCTCCCCCAGGGGCCCTTCCCTGCCGGAGCCCCCACCCTGCCCCAAATCCGTGCCCTGCCTCTCTTTCCCCTGACATTCCCCGAAGACTTGTTCTTTTCGTGGCTCCTACAAAAATTAAATCGTGCTTCTCTGCTCTGGGAGACCGCCTCATCCGTTCCATGGTGCATACCAGGAGAAGGTCTTCATTTCCCTGAGCCCACAGTGCCAGTGGGGAGCACGTGCCAGCGGGGAGCACACGCCGTCGGGACGCCCCCGTGGGGACCAGCGAGCCCACAGTGCCAGCGGGGAGCACACGCCGTCCCGTGGGGACGGGTCACACGGGTGGGTCTGGGACTTTTTCCGTCTCCTGGTCGAGAGAGCACGGGCTGCAGCCCGTCCTGGGGGGCGACACGTCTCTGCCCTCATTCCCCTGTAGAAGTGCCCTCCTTCGGCCTCTGGAGGAGGTTCTGAGTGGGACAGGTGCCTCACTGGAGCAGGATGTCGTCGCACTGGTTGCCGGGGATTTCCTCCTTCGTGGGCAGTTGTTTGGAGTTCTCCGTGGCTCTGGTTGCCTCAGGCTAGCTGTCCATCCGTCTGTGAAAGCCTAACGTGCCCACTCTCTGCACAGGAACCTCGGGGGCACAGTGACAGCCTGTTCCGTCTCCCTTCTTGCCTTTGGGCACATTCGTGGTGCACCGTGCACCTCCCGCACTCAATGCTGGCACCTGCTGTTGTGTCCTAGAGCTGCAGGGACCAGGGAGAGCTTTCTCCAGGTGACTGGGAGCCAGGAGCGGCTGCCCAGGGGAGGGGACGGGGGAGAGAGGAGTGGTCTAGAGAAGGTATGTCCCCTCGGGTCTTTAAGACATAAAATCACTCTAGTTTCCTGGGCTGTGTGCCAATCACTTTGTTCTGGTTCTAAAATGGCTCTCGTGGGCCGTGTCCCTTTCTGAGCGCTCAGGCTTTATCCATCTGCGTGGCCGGCTTCACCGTGGGTATCTCCCAGGGCACACCCCTGCAGCCCTCACCCTCCCGTCTTGTCAAAGGCCCTTCAGGTCAAAACAACAAGAACAAAATCCCTCCGTCTTGCAGCGGAGGCCGGCGTTTGGCCGTGTTTTCCCGCTGGTGACTGTGGCTCTCAGTGGGGCGGCTTTCAAACTCAGTGGCCTTTGGTGTAGAGAGTCTTCTGGGTCAACACCCGCCCTTCCCGTTATGGGCCTGCTTGGAGCACAGTTTGCTGCCGATTAATTCATAATGTAAGATATTTGGTACGCAAATCTAATTTCTTCACTGTCAGCTCTTATTTGCCAATATGGCAAGCCTTTATTTGTTTCTATTATAAAACCAAATCCCTGAAACTCTTAAGTTCTTAATATTTTGAAATTTCAATTATCCTCCACGACTGTATCTCTATTCACAGATGCATTTGCATGCGGTAGGAGCTGGTGGTAAAACAACACGGCCTTTTGAAGGGAGAAGAGCTCTTTGAACCTCCAGCAAGAGGGGATACCGTTATTTGCCTGAGAAAAATCCTGTTCTCTAAGCAAGCCAGAGGAGGATCGGTTGGACGCAGAGCCACTTCGGGGAGACTGAGCGGTTGTCAGGACAAGATCCCGGCTGCCATCATGAACCTGTGCTAAGTCTTGGCGTTCGGAAAGCCCCGGGAGACCAGGAAGGACCTGCCCACAGGTGACCCGCCCTTGTGAACCTGAAGGGTGGTTGGTACTTGTGACTTGAGCCAGGGGCTAGTCAGCGTCCCACTGTATCCTTAGACTCATGCCCTGGGTACTGGTATAGTCTAGAAAGCATGCACGGGTCTTGAAATACGAAGAAGGATTTGGGGTGGGGGATCTGGACTGTCTGTCTGTGAATGTTTACTGAGCACTGTCGGGCTCCGAGGGCACAGCGACAGGCCTGGCAGAACCCCGCTGGGGCTCACTTTCAGGTGGACATGGCCACACAGACTCCTGGTCAGCATATCCTATGCCAGATGACGGGGAGGGTCTGCAGCTGGGCGGGCAGATGGTGGGTCACTGCTCTTTCATCTGTGGGACGGGGAGGCTTCCTGATGAGGTGATCTCGGAGCATCTATTTGAATAGACGTTTGTGGATTTTAGGGATTACCTGTGCACTTACCTAAGCACTACGGCAAAACTATTAGAATGGTCAAATATTGTTTCTAGAAGGGCTGGGCATGTCTTTGGAGTCCCTGGATTTTATGGCTCTGGCCTCCACCTTCAGGACACGCACGAGGGGTCAGACTCCAGGCCGGATCAGTGCCTGCTGAGGGACCAACCACCCTGCAGCCACCTGCAAGGGGTCCTCTGGGGCCATCTCCCTGCCGCCTCCCCGGCCCCATGCCAGTGGCCCTGGCTGCCGAAGCCTATTCACCAGGTGTCATCACCAAGTGGTGAGGACCTGGGAGGTGGGAGAAGGGGAGCAGGGCTGTGAAGGGGGCGCCTGTGAGCGTAGCCTTTGAGCGTAAGGGCCTTGGGGCGCTGCCTGGCTTGGGCTGTCCGCCCTGGGAATGCAGGGCACCTTCCCAGGAGTCAGGGAAGCGACTCGCCCCCGTCAGATGGCTGGAGGGAAGAGGAAAACGCCAGATCTTCACATTTTCTTCTAGAATTTGGACTGATGGCTGGCAAAAGAGCAAGGCAGGTTCTCAGGGCACACAGCCTGTCGCAGGAGTGAAGGAGGAGGGAGCAAAATAGCTTCCCCGGTGCCTCGTCCTGCACGTCTGAGCGGAGTCGGGGGCGGGGGGCAGCATGTTCCCTCAAGATGGATCTTTTATTCCATTGATTGAGCGATTCTGGGCTGCTGTTCCCGTTCTGTGCGTGTGCGCGTTTGGTTATTTGAAACTTTTCTTTAGCAATTTACCAGGCCTGGTATATTTCTTTGTTTCACGTTTTTCCTCTGCGCATAGATTACATGTTTTCAGTAGCATCTGCTGTGAATTTTAATTACGATGTTCGACTCCAAGGGAGCCTTGCAAAGCAGCCAGAGTACTTAGCAGTCCAGACCCATGTTTATGGCACAGACAGACGGTTGCAAAGTGTGTAGGGACACGCGGACACAAGACAAAGGTAATATGATCCAGCAGTTCTCCCCCTGCACCCCTGCCCCCCTTTTTAAGAGACCTCTGTAGCAAGGGACTGATACGCATAAAATTACTGTTTTTCGTGTTTTTGTTTTTTGCCGATAATTGCTCTTTGGTTCTTTAAGGAGGTATCACAAAGCCTCAGTAGCTTTTAGAGCAGCAGTTACGGGATTTATAGCTCGACCAGAACGGAAAATGCCGTTCTGTGTCCTGCTACGTCAAATTGCAAAAATGAGCTTGCGGGACATCATAAAAACGGGGCTGCTACCATCAGCCTAGGAAGACCTTCCAGAGTCCAGTGAAGTATGCATGGCACCGATTCCCTGAGGCCTGTGCTGTTCTCAGCGGCGGTTCCGTGCCTCCAGCACACGGCGTTCAAGGACCCATCACGCCGGATAAGGCAAGTCGGCTCTGTGTGCGCCCCAGGGCCAGTGAGGGGACCGTCCTCTGGCTGGACGGGGGCCGCGCGTCCTGCCTGTGTTGAGTGTGCTCCCAGCAGACGAGATTGCGTCTGTCCCTCTGTCACATGAAGCCAGCACTGTGACCACGTTTTAGTTCAGCAGCAACACTGCTGACCGCACAGCGTACTTATGTGGTGATTATTTCGCTGCCCCCGTAAGTCAAGGGGAGCCGAGCCCTAGGGGTTGAAAACAGTTGCCCTCGGAGCCCTCTGTCCAGGCTGGAGTGGAAATCCTAGGCTTGTCCCTTGGGTGTGTCCTTTAGAGTACATCCCGGCCTCCTCCAGGGCAGGATCCGATGCAGGCTGCCCCCTGGAGCCCGGGCTTCCTCCCGGCCCTGCCTCAGGGTCTGCAGAAGGCGTTGGCCCCTGGGGGCTGGGACGTGCCGCGTCCTCACCAGAACCCTGGCCAGAGCAAGTGTCGGGACTGTTGGCCAACCCGCATTTGAGGCTCTGCTGTACTCTTCTTAGCTGAGTCATCCAGACTGGCCAGTGCGGGCTCCCGACGAGAGGTGGGGTGACGCTGAGGGTACCGGTGCCCGTGTGTCAGCCCACGGAGAGCCCGGGGCAGTGCCAGAGGGGCACCAGCTCTGATCACGTGTCAGCACGGAGGAGGCTCCGTGATTCACAGACGATAACACTTAGGCTGAGGGGTTTAGTGATCTTCTCTCACTGAGTCTCAGGGCAGGGATTGGGGTCCGGCACCCAGGGTGGTAACGTTTGCCACCCTGATTCCCCCAACCCCAATCTGTGATCTCACCGGGGACCCTCGGAACCAGCCTCGCACCCCTCCATCGAGGCCTCTCACGCTGGGCCTGGGGAGAGAATGTTCTGGAGATCCAGGGACGCCACATTCTTTCCTTCCTGCTCTCTGCTGCATCAGATGTACTCAGAGACGTCGTGGCTGCTTGCAGTTAGGAACTCTCTAGAATGCCTTCGCCCTCTCTGAAAGGCAGTTTATTTCCCCAACGGCCTTATTTCCCCAACGGCCGGCCCTCTCTTTGCCCCGGAGGCTGACTGAGCCTCCTCTCTGCACACCGGGCACCAGAGGGAAGCTGGCATGGTCACCTCGGCTTCCAGGACAGCACTTTGTGGAGCAGCAGTGGACGGCCTCAGGGTTGCCCCCTGGGTGTGCAGAAATGAGGGGTCAGGACTCGGGCGTATGGCTGGGCAGCTGGGAGACGTGAGGACTGGGGTTTTGAGATGGGCCAAGCCGGCTGGCTCCTGGGTGTGCCCGCTGCCCGCTCTTGGAGCGGCTTATCTCTCCCACGGTGGCCTAGTCCTGGCGGCTATTTCCGGGTGGGGGCGCCTCCCGGCTCCCCTTTGTGCGGAGGGTGGGCGAGGCCGGGGGATGCTCTGCCCGCACCTGTGAGCTCACTGACGGGACACTGGGCGCTACACCTGCTCAGCGAGCAGCGTCCTCCACACTTGGCCTCCGGGCCCACTTCCCACCATCGACCAGCCGCAACCAGCAGGACTTGTGCAGGCGCGTCCAGCCACTCAAGAGACGGGCTCCCCATTGTTTGTCTTCTCGATGACAGACTTGTCAGCTTCTGGGGGTTCGCCCCCCAAATGGCGCAGCAGGAAAGTCCTCTGAAGGCCTCGGAGGGTGTTAGCTTCCTGCAAAACAACAGCTCATTGCTTTGGCAGTGTGTTCCTGAGTCCCTGTGATTCTGGGGACCGTGTATTCCTGGTGTCACTGCACTCTGGGGCTCTGTGTGCTCCTGGAGCCTTGTGTCCTGGGAGTCCAAGTGCTCCTGAGGGCATTCTGTTCCTAAGGTCCATGGATTGTCAGCATCTGTGCGCTGGGGCTCAGGAAGACGGCTGAGGAGTGTCTGTGAACACGAGGCCCTTTGGGGAAATCGGTTTCCGTATTCCCTACTTCCTATCCTTCCTAAACGTGACCCGTCTTACCTCTACCCTGTTGTTCCCCATCCACGCCTGCCCTTCTTCTCCACACCCTTGCACAGTAAAGGCAGGTGAACACCCTTGCCCTCGGTGTCACCTCGGTGCACACCCACGTAGGAAGGCCAGTAACAGTCACGGTAACCTGAGATGTTGTCGACTTTTGGGAAAACAAGTGCTCCTAAGGAGTGAGCTGGGTTCATTTTGCAAGTGAAATGGTTCTAATACCCAGTTTCAAGACAAAATCGAACAAAGACCCAGGCTAGTTGTTGACCTGGCAGAAGTGTTAGCCTGGTAGATAATTACAACTCATCCACCCAATGTCTTTGCACATCCCTTGGAGGAAGTTTGCCACTTAGAGTGATAGAGCCTTAACAAAGCTTCTTTGTCATCTCCGTGCTCGAGGTGACGCTTCCTCAGCTCATACCTCTACAGAAAATAAATGGAAATAGAATCAATCTTTGACCCCAGCCCCAATCCAGCAATAAGTAATGGAATCATTGCAGGATAAATGAGCCATTTGGAAAAATCACATCCATTCCATCGAAGATGCACTTCTAACATTTCATTTTTACGCTTAATACGTGTCTATTGAAATATAGATAACATTTATGTTGTTTTGATTTGTTATGCCAGTAATAATGTAGAAAAATCCAATCCAGAAGAAAATTATTTTTAACACTTAGAGTCTATGGTCACTGGCAATAAAGAGTAGATATATATTTCATATCAATATTCTTGAGCAGAGAAGTACGATAGGATGATGAATAACACAATCTCAAGCGTAAACATTGATCCCTTCGGGACAAAATCCTGTGGAAGAAGTGGCTCGGAAATACAGGTTTAAGTGGAAGAAAAAAGAAATATGTAAGATTTTCTGCTATCGAAGGACCTGTTCTTGAATTTTTGAAATGGTGACCGTGGGTATGGAATGCCTCACTTTTTTGATTCCAATTGATACAATGAATGATGATGTGATAGTTTTATTTTAAAACGGTGATGTTTACACTATGCCAGAATTTACAGCCTATTCCGCTTTTTGAACTTCTAACCAACGCCTCAACTTGCAGATTCCGAGGGGTGAATGGGCAAACGGATGATGCCTGCGGGCCCCAGGTGCTTCTGTCCGATGGAGGAGGCAGAGGACGTGGGGTCTGAAGGGCGGAAGGAACACAGCCCTTCCAACGGCTCCCGTGGCCAACGCGACCTAATTCTATTTTAATTTCTTAT